GAGGCTTAAAAAGTTTATTGTGCGTATTCAGCGTACCAATTAGTGAACCAATACATTGACGCGTTTGATGCCATTTATTGGATGATGGAACTACTGAACTGGGTTTCAGTCACTGGTGACTTAGTTTATAATTCTTTTTATATTTGATTTCTAATGGAGTCAAAGAAGTCACGCGATGGCGTGACGCAGCACGCAGCATGCCTGGTTGCCCAAACTTGGAAAAAATATAAATCGTGGGCCGTAGTGGGAATAATCCGGTCAAAAAATGCTGTGCAACTTCAAAGTAGCGTGATAGGTCTCAGTTAGCGAAGAAGTTTTCAAGTTATTCGATCCTTAGACTTAGAGAAAAGTGCTTAACGTTTCCTACTCTCCTGGAGAAGTACTCCAAATTTATTACATTTTAGGCGGAACATTCCGGCTATCCTCCAACACTTCTCCAAGCAATATCCTTGGCTCGACTCCTTCTGGACCCGTTGTGGGAATATGCTCACCTGTGGAATGCCGATGAGGACATCTTCTGTCTCAATTTCCATCCTTTACAAAGCGAAATCAGCAAGGTATGTTGAGCGGTTCTTCTTTGCTTGCGGATTCTTGTGATCGCTATCTGAATTCTAGGACGACTTGAGCAATGCGCTTTCACGTGAATTAATAAATCGTGTGAACGAAGTTGGTGTTGACGTGAATAGGTGAGTCAAAATTTCCAAAATCTCAGCCAAAAATTATGAAAATTGCTTTCAACCGATCCTTTTCAGATGTCTGGAGCATCCGCACACTGCCAATGTTCTGCAGTTTGTTTGTGGGCTTGGACCTCGAAAAGCCACTCACCTCTTGAAAATGCTGAAGCAACATGACCATTTACTTGAGAGTAGAACGAAACTCGTAACGCTCTGTCGCATGGGGCCCAAAGTGTTCATGAACTGTGCGGGATTCATCAAAATCGACACAACACGGGTACGAAATTTTTGACTGATCATAATCCACTTAAGTGGGATCATTGTCACATTTGTTTAGGTTGCTGAAAAAACAGATGCATATGTCGAAGTGCTTGATGGCTCTCGTGTCCACCCTGAAACTTATGAATGGGCCAGAAAGATGGCAGTCGATGCTTTGGAGGTAAATCCAGTGATTTCGTTCATTTTTATGGTTTAGTGTAGGCGATTTTTGTAGTAAGCAAAAAGTTCCCTTTCAGGTGGACGATTCAGCCGACCCAACGACGGCTCTGGAGGAGATTCTGCAGGCTCCCGATCGTCTCAAAGATCTTGATTTGGATGCCTTTGCTGAAGAATTGAAGCGACAGGTCAGAGGCGATTTCCCATGTAATGGATTATGATGGGACTGCTAGGTTCAAAAGGAGCTACTGTAGTTGAGGGAGGCCACGAGGTGGTGCGAAAAACTCCGCGAAAGTCGAGCTCAAAACGAACCCCAACGTCTAGTCATCTGAGCTCTTCTAAGGCAGCGTAGGGAGGTAGATGGTTTACAAATTTGTGACTCCGCGTGGCATACCCAACACTACAGTACTCTGACTCTGCAGTCTGAACAGTCGGGGATTCCCAGGGAGATTCCCAGATGGCTTGCGTTCCGCTGTTTTAGCGTTTTAATTTCTTGTCTTTTACTTCT